TTAAAACAAAGGAGCTAAATTCAAGAATGTTTTATTTCTTGAAGAAAGTTTTCCTATATTTTCCCTCAACATAATCTTCAATTTGCTTTTTTCCTTTTTTAAGCCAACTTGATGTTCATAATATATTTGTAATGTGTACTGCCAACAATATCTTATAAACAGACCTCATCATTTTGAAGCATTGATGATAAGTAATTTAGGTCTTGGATAGCATATCACATTAGAAACAAAAAAGAAAGTGATTTATAAATAATTTGTTTATTGGTGTAAGAGTTAGAACTTATTTTAAAAGTAAGCCTTTAGAGAAGATTAAAAATGATCAATTTTAATGACCTTAAGGTTGGCAACTAGTTTATATTTCAGCATGGATCATAAAACCCTTAGTAGATAACAGCAACGAATCAGTCCAAGCAGAAATCCATCTGCCATTTGACTTTGGAAAGAATAAGGACAAATACAATAAATTTAACACTCTCCAACATTTCTTTTAAATCCCACCATGTGTTGTGTTTTTCTTTTTAAATTAAATTGAGAACTAACCCTGAAGACATTCAGTATAGGGACACCAGAAAGTTACAATGTAATCAACTAAACTTACATCTGAAAATCCAGAGCAGTATATGGTACACACATCTATCTTTTTATAAACAAATCCTGCTGATTCCTAATGTTGAGTAGAGGAAAGTTACACTCTGTAACAGTAATTCAAAGCATCAAACTGACACTTAGTATTCCTTATATGTTTTAGTTCCTTTAAAACAATAAAATGAAACAATGAAAACTCTTTTCACAAGGCTGTAGAATTCAGTTTGCTAGGCATGGATGTGTGAAGTCTATGTCCTAAAATAAACCAGAGAAGGGGCTCTGTGAAAAATGGGCACGGCTGAAATGATTTCACTCATATGTGGAGTATAAAAACAAAGCAAAACAGAAGGAACAAAATAGCAGTGGACTCATAGACACTGAGTAGAGACTCTAGTGGTTACCAAGGGAGAAGGGTTGGGAAGGGGGTAGTGGGAAGGGGATAAAGGGGCACAATAATTCACAATCACATATAAGTTGGTCACAGGGACAGTAGTACAGCATGGAGAATACAGTTAATGATTCTGTAACCTATTATGTTGATAGATAGTGACCACACTAGAGGGGATGAGGATTTAATAATATGGGTGACTGTTGAACAACTGTGTTATATATGTGAAACCAACATAAGATTGTATATCAATGATACTTTGATAAAAAAAATGGGGAAGGCTGTTAAGTCCATTTTGAGAGCTAATTAGGAAGGGCAGAGGAGGTGCCAAGGAGTGGTAGTTGGTGGCAACAACAATAGTTTGGCATAAAAGTCCTGCATAACTAACTAAAGCTAGACCAGTTCAAGGAACGACTGTTGTTTCAAACTTGAGAAGAAATGACCAAACCCTACATTACACTTTTTGAATACAACTGAGAAAATGAGTGACCATCTCTCCTCTTTGGTGTCAAGAAGCATCACCTAAGCTTCCACTTCAGGATCTTTCAGGCCTATTGATTCATTGCAATACCACCATCTTCTCCCTGATTTATTTTCCAAGCTCCCCAAAGAGCCCTCAGTAATCAGATGGCAAAAATCCAAGTCACCAGGGTCTCCAAACTCACAGAGCATCACCTTCAATCAGTGGGAGGGGCGAGAACAGAAAGCAAGAGTAACTGAGGGGCAGCTTTCCCCACCTGCAGCGCACAATCGAGCCGAACCCCCTGGAGCATCTCCATCTTGCTTCATGCAAGGCGGCCCAGGGCCACCAGCGACAACAGCAGTGATACCCAAGTGACCTCTGGAGGAGGCCCAGCTGGGACCTGAAGCTGAGGCAGCAGCGTCAGGCACAGGGAAACAGAGGAGGCCTGCCCCGTCGCTAAGTCATCTCAGACTGCCTGACAGACCGTGAAGTGGTGTTCTCACTTGGCACTGAAGGCCGCACAGCTCGAGCTGCATCGGACACCCCAGGACCCAGGAGGGCAGCCTCCAGAGGAAGAGAGGCTTCTGTTATTGTGAGTAAGGAAATGGCTCTGTTCACTCACTCAGCTGATTCTTAATGGGATCAATACAGCCATTTCGGAGTTCTGTACAAAAACCCGACCGAATTAGGGAATTAAAAACCAGGAAGGCACAGTGATTGGAAAGGGAACCTGAGGGGTTTTTAGGATTCTGGTAATGTCTATTTCTTGAGCTGGGTAAAACGGGTGTGTCCATTTTGTGAAAATTCACTGTGCTCCTCTGATTTGTGCCTTTTCCTCTTTAAATACTACATCAATAAAATTATTAAAATTTTTAGAAAGTCAAGAAGACATCTGCATTTTATCAATAAATACTAGTAGTGTAAAAGAGTAAAAACACTGAGCACTTCACAGAAGTGCTTGGATGCATCCATTTTTTCATCACACAGGAGCAGCTTGAATACTCCCCTAAGGAATGGGGGGCTGAAGGGATAATCCGCAGACTAACAAAGCAGGGCGATAATTATGGTCGGCAGGGGATTGCCAACCACCTCCCTGCACAGGGCGCTGCCCACAAGTGGATGACTCTACAAAGACAGCTCTGGAAACTGCTGTGTTTGATCTCCCTCTGATGTTAGCCTGCCCTGCACTAACAGAGTGACACGGCCAGAAAACCAGTAATGCTGCAGTGCTGGCACTTCTGTCACTTACCAGTGGTGTGACCTTGAGCAGGTCCCCTTATCCTTCTTGCCTCTCTGGGCCCCCATCTCCAAAATGGGGGTTATGGTCCCTCTCCTGGCACCACAATGGGTGGTTATGAACATTTTATTGATAGAAAAGCACCTCCTAATGTATTATTATTCCCTGGCAATGGTGCTGAAAAATAGTATTTTTTACAAAATCCAAAGTCATTGATTCATACAGTAGCCACACCCAAAAATCAGTATGTGTGAAATTTTCCAAGAAGAAATTGTGCAAATAAACTAAATTAGAACAGATCAAAGGCGTATAGTTCGAAAAGGAAGGGTTATTGACATGCTCAAAGAATCACTATTGAAATCTCTTATTCTTGAATTTTTTCCGAATGAAACAGCATGACCGCATTCTGCTTTTTTTTTTTTTTTTTTTTTTTT